ATTAATGATTAGTAAATATGATTAATTAATTTTAATTAATATTAAGTTAATTATTTAATTAGGTTAATTATTTTTGATTAATTAATTTTAATTTTTAATTAACTTTAATCTTGGTCAAAGTCAAAGTTATCTTTTATTTTATTTCAATTTCACCCACAAGTTTTATGATTAAGCAATTTAGTTCTAAAGTTTCAAATATTTTTAAATCAGTCTTTCATGTTTTCGAATTTAATCAAATTAGTCCCTTTAATTCTTATTTGTGCTCATGATGCATGTATGTCTTTGATTTTGTCCATTTTAGTCCAAAAATTAAAAAATGTTTCAATTTGGTTTACCCTTCTTTCAAGCTTGCTTATTAAGACTTAAATACAAGCATAATTAATAAGTTGAATCAAAACTCCAATTTTAAAGTATGCAACCGTGTTAAACGGAGGATTGTGAGGTGCGCGTATGCCCTTCCTCACTCCTAACTGAACTCCCGAACCTCGATCTCTGCGCAGACCCGTTTTAGGTGAGTTGTCCCACCTTATAATTTGGACGAGTAGCGACTCCCTCTTTTTTATATTTTCACACTTAATCCCTTTTTAAGTGGTCGTAAACAATAAGTCATGCCCTTTTGAGTCTTGAAGCATATATATCATGTAAGGCTTTTAGCACATCAGCACCCTGTCAATTTCAGAACATTGAAATTCAGAGTTCAATTTCGGATAATCAATATATGTGATTTAATTTGATTCAGCAAGCAGATTGGCGTCATTTTTACCATTAAAATTTTTTAACTTTGCCTCATTTTGCCACATCTTCTACAACTTTAGTTGAGGACAAGGATAATCCATTACTCCGGCATCTTTATTCCACCCATTTCCAGATTATGCACAAGGATATCTTTGCTCCCCAGAATAATTTTTACATTTACAGAAACAGAATAGTACGAAAGAAAACAAGAACACGTACAGATGTAAACAATTTCCTTTCATATATATTTACAATTTCTGTTAAGAGTTGTGGTGTCAAAGCTGCAATACAGTGGCGGTAAGTGACAGCCACATGGAGCTGCACAAAATGGCAGCAAATCTTTTGAACATAATATTACTTTAAATGTTTGATAGATTTTCTTGTATTAGGTAAATATTAGGTGAGAAAAGTAATGTTTTATATTGTATTGTTTTTGCTATTTATAGCAGAATATTAATGGAAGAAAATGAGTTTTCACCTCACCAAAAGAGGGAACTCCGGGTGTCTCCTTTTCCAGGTGTCTTGCATCCTAGATGAAAGACAATAGAAAAACTAAAAGCATCTTGCAATACAAGTTTCTATCATTTGGAGACAAAACTAAAAATAGAAATCCTGAGTTTAATTTTTCCATTACTTCTCTTTTGAATCCAGCCAAAGCAGCACCCGAGAAATCCTGGTCTAGGAACTTCTTAACAGCAACCTCCTGTGGTTCAAAACCCATTACCAGCCAGGAAGTTCGAAAGTCCATTTTTCATTTCATATCTTATTGATTCAAAATTGGTACAAGTAGAGAAATCGTGTCTTAAACACACAACTCTTTTACAAGCTGCTTGATAGAAAGGAAAATTTTAATAAACTTTCAATTTTAAAAATGATGTTGCTTTCAAGTCAAAATGATATTAACTTCCAATTCCGAAAGTACAGAAAGAAAGGTATTGCCAATTATGATTCACTTATTAAAAATTCTATATTACCATCTAAACTATTGAAGTATTGTTTATGCAAAAGGTTCTACAGTGATGTTCATGTTAATCCATGTTGTCATATTATAAGCCATCACTGAGTCTCTAAAGCAACATAAAAATGACAAACCAACATTTTAAAGAGAACATTTTAAAGAGACAAGAACAAGTTCTCCAACTTTAAGTAAAACAACAACAAATAAAAAGAAAATAAGGAAAGAAGTGACCAACTTTACAAATTTCAAGGGAAAAATAGTATCCAAAACTAACCGTGTCATTCCAATTAGCATGATAGACCTCTCCATATGAACCTATTCACAAGAAAACAAAATTCACAAAGAATTAGAACTCCTAAAGAAATGAAAACAGTATATCTATATAGCAGTGAAACACCATACATGGCCGCTTCTAATAACTCTAACCTTTGAAAGCAATAATGTAGTTAAGACTGAAAAAACTGACAGTTTACGGACTAAAAATCCATCTCTGCGAAACCATGTTTTCCAAACCTAATACAGAATTAGATCATATGCCTTAACCAGTCCAATTCTTTCACCAATAAGCAAGTCTGTTGGATTTTGGGTGGTAAGAGGGGGGATTGAGAGAGGACTTAGAGGAGGAGAGAGAGACACTCAGAATTCTTCCATAAACAACACAACATAACATAGAACATAAAGCCATAAACATGGAAGGGTGCAGACATTCACCCAACTGGAGAGGAGAAACCATGCTTTCTCTTTCTCTCAATTTCCATTCAATTTCTCTCTTCCTTTTTATAGGGGAAGGTTACACATAAAATAATAATATTTTTTTACCTAATACAATAATTATTAACTTCCTAAAATGATGAAATCTGCTGCCATTTCTTGTAGCCCATGTGAAGCTCCATGCTGCTGTCATTTGTTGCTACTGTGCAGTCATGTTGCAGCATCATTTCATTTCTTTTTCAGCTTTCATGCCATAGCTCCAACAAACTCCTCCTTGGCATTAAAGCTGCAGAAACAAAATTTTACTTCAGAACATTGACTCCACCATTTTCAGTTCTTTGTGCCTTGGTTTCGTTTGTTGTTTGCTGCCAACTTCCATCTTTCTTAAATATTTCAGCTCCTCCTGCAAATCAGCTTCATCTTCGTTAGATTTTTGCAGTTTAAACAGATTCTGGAGCCTTAAACATTTTCAGCGACTCCACCATTGCAGCAGCTTTGTCTGTGGATCTTTGCTGCTTCAGTACATTTTCTGGAGTTGTGATTTTTGCTCCTCCACCAAACTTCTTTGCCATAAAGCGATGGAGTTCACAAATACATAAACATGAAGAGTTTTTTTTTTATTTTTATGAAAAAAACTCATAACATTCAAAAATACAAACATAAAAAATGGTAGAAGACCACATAATGAAACTGAGATGTTGTGCTCAGTTTTCCTTTGCTGTTATCTCCATCAAACATTATTTGCCATGAAGTCGTGGGAGTTTAGAACATCAAAGCCACATCCATGAAGAGTTTTCTTGGGAAAACTCAGAACATATCCACATCAAACATAAAAGATGGATGAAGCATATAACATGAAACTGAGTTTTTTGTGCTCAGTTTCCCATTCCATCGACCATGATTTGCCATTTGGACTGATTTTTGTAAACAAACATGAACACCTTCTCTTTGAATCCAGCTTTCCTCTCCTTGACATGTCCCATGGTGGGACTAACATATACCTCCATCTTCACAGCTTTTTTAGCTGCAAGATTTTGGCCAAGCAAGAGGTGTTTCATGTGAAGAACCATCTGAAAACAATGAGAAAGGTGGGTTTGTTTCTGGTGTTTCCTCAAAAAAACAAACTCTCACAGGTCCCTCAAGAATTCAGCTCTGATACCATGTTGGATTTTAGGTGGTAAGAGGGGGGATTGAGAGAGGACTTAGAGGAGGAGAGAGAGACACTCAGAATTCTTCCATACACAACACAACATAACATAAAACATAAAGCCATAAACATGAAAGGGTGCAGACGTTCACCCAACTGGAGAGGAGAAACCATGCTTTCTCTTTTTCTCAATTTTCATTCAATTTCTCTCTTCCTTTTTATAAGGGAAGGTTACACATAAAATAATAATATTTTTTTACCTAATACAATAATTATTAACTTCCTAAAATGATGAAGTCTACTACCATTTCTTGTAGCCCATGTGAAGCTCCATGCTGCTGTCATTTGCTGTTACTGTGCAGTCATGTTGCAGCATCATTTCATTTTTTTTTTTCAGCTTTCATGCCATAGCTCCAACAAAGTCTTCCCATGCAATTTCAAAATCACCCACATCTACATCATCAAAGAGTTGATCAACCTTCTCTGTTATGCAATCAACCGGTGACCTAGGACTTTCAGGATTCTTCAATTTCAGATTTTTCCCCATACATCTATCAGGTTTGGCTTTTCTGTGATCATGTAAACCGACTTCATTACTTTCCTGATCTTTAACCATATCCAAAGTGTTATTTTGCACATCCTGCCATCCATTGGATTTTTCTTCATTAAAGTTAGTGCTCACATCCTGAACCATTGGTGCATTATTGAACTGACCAGTAGTAGAAGTCAAAGATTGTCCCATGTCAGACAAACGATCCCTAGATTTATAATCATTATTGGGGAGATTGGAATCACTCGATAACTTGAAACCATGAGGATGGACCTTCTCAGATTTTGTTGAGCTGGTTGAAGCTGATGCTGATTGATGGAACTCATAAGACTCACCATTGATTTTGGGAAATAGACCATCCACATAATTGTACTCCTTTTTCTTAGGGATCTCATTGTAAGTGGGCTGATTGTTCCGTAATGGGACAGGGGGGCGACGGGTGACAATATTCATTTTTTGTCTTTGAAGGTCATCAACTTTGCTCTCGGTAGATTTGTTCTGCAGGTAAGTTTTATCTGTCCCTTTTATGTGGAAAGGATTAAGATCTGCAAAAAGGTTTTTCGAGTCATCCTTACTACTCTGACTGTATGGAACCACATTGAGGTTCATCCTTGCACTGTCAACTGTAGGATTGGTCCCACGACTTCCTTTATAAAGTGAAGCTCCGATTACAGTAGAAGGAAGATGATCCAACTGATTAGGGGACATTTTGTTAGATATTATGGAAGTGACAACAGCAGAGTCACCACTTGGACCTGAGAATGAATATAAGTATTCTGTGTTTTTTGAACTTGATCCCCCTATCTGAGGGAAAACCGCCATTAATGGCAGAACGTTGGCTGCTGCCTTCACCATTTAATTTGGCTCTCGGGTGAACACCTCCAACATCATCAGAAAACTGAATAGTCAGGATTTTGCTTAGTGATGGATTATATGACTTCAAAGCGGTATCCTTTGCACTGAAAATATCAGCAGCTATAAGTGTCCCAGGAGCTGCCATGAGATCAACCAAAAAATCCCTGAAGGCAATGAAACAAAACATCAGAACTGAAGAGGTCAGAGATTGATTCAAAAATAAGTACAAACTACTAGCTTTCATGCTCCAGCTTTACCATGTTTACAGCATCATCCTCAACCCCAGTGTAATGACTGCCTTTTACGAGTCTACAAGGTAACTTTATATTATCAGCCAATACCTACATACAAGGGTGCCAAGAAAATAAATATACAGCTGTTGGATAAATAGAACGCTTAGCCTACATTTTGATCTAATATTTATTAGCTCCAAGAATGAGGCATGAAATTTTATATTTCAGAAAGCTTTTAGTAGCATCTTTTAAATGTGAAGAATAACAGCATTAAAGAAGCAAACTTGATTTTAACAACCAATTCTGATGAAATGGAAACCAAGTCTGTCAGATTGTTGCTATACAATGGATTACACCTCAGTAATCAAAACAATCAACAGAAAGTTCAAATCATTAGGTTTTAGAATGACAGCTGTAGAGACAGTAACAAAGGGCATAACTTCTAATAATAATATATCTCAAAAAATTCCTTCCTTTCATTTCTAATGTTTCTCATTCCAAAAATAAATAGTTCTTCTTGATAATATTAAACTCTGCTCTGAAGTTCCATCAACCAATGTGATCACAGATTCTCATGATACTTAAATCTTACCCAAAAAAAAATGAAAAAAAAAAGGAAGAAGAAGGATCTTCCTCAAGATACAAACATGACTCTAAAAAGTAGACAGCCATATCTTTCCCTTTTCATGTTACATGAACTTACATTTAATAAGAGGTGTAGAAATGGTAAATATATTACAGTAACAGAAAGTTGGCCAGTGAAGACTAGAGCCACAAGTTTATGTTTAATAACTAACCTTGAAAGTCAACAAAAAACAAAATAACTAACCTTGACAAGTAAAGCATGATACCGAAACAATCCTATATTAATGGACCCAATAGGCAATCAACTTGTATGAAGAGATGTTCTCAATTCCATGCTCCTATCCATCCACCTTGCCAACATTATATTAGCATCCTTAACGGGTCCACCCATATGGCCTGTAACAAATTCAGCAAGCTTTTGGACTAAAACACTAACGTTACTAACCGGGCAATCTAATGCAATACAATGTGCAATTTGCATCAATTCTTCTAAGACAGGGTCAATTGTTCGATTGACAATCACAACTTCAAAGCCATAATTCCCAAGATTTGTCTCAAGATCTGCAAGAGATAGCATTTTTCCTTGGAGTGCTGAATTTGTGGAAGGCCCATACACATCATAGAAACCATCAACCACTTTCTCTTTGTAATCAAGCACACTGTACTCCTGGTGCATTAAAACACCTAACAGAAGTCAAGCCAAATAGAATAACTACAGATGCAGTACACCATAGCAATATATGTAAACAAATTACAGTCAAGCATTAATGTGAAGTAGCAATGTATAAGAAACTTTCAAACTCAATATACTTGAAAGACATTCTGGCATGGAGAATATATATTTTAAACTAGCAAAAAAATCAGATATTTGATTGCATTCATAAATAGAAAAATTTTCTACATGTTAAATTGTTTCAGTGAACTCAATTTGGCAACGACTGCTTTTTTAGTCAATATTATCACTTCAACATAACTTAAACCACATAAACAAAATTTTCAGATTTTAAATCCCATTTCTATCACAAAATCAACTACTTACCTGATTGAATAAAGCCTCACGAAGTAGAAAACAAAAGAACAGTACACAGGAGATACTCCTTCCCCAAATTAAGCAAGGATCAAAGAATTCAATATATGTAATTAAGAAAAGTAACCATTCCAACTCAGCTACTAAAATTGAAAATGCAGGACTCAAATAATTAAGATGATCATGATTTTCTTAACTACAAATTATGCAAGTCCAAAATGGTAGCAATGAAATTTGTTGGCCAGCAATATATAATCTAAAACTAGAAATAAAATGCATTTGAGTTGTTAACACCAAACTCCAAGCTTTAATCACCATAACGCAATTCCTAATCCTTAGTTCAACCTCATCCACTACAATTTCATAGAGTGAAAGACTTTATGGTGCTGCAATTCATCATTTTTACTAACCTGAGAGTAAATTGCATTAACCCTAACAATCCAAAACCAACCAGCAGCACCTGCCAACACTAATCAGCAATCCAAACCCAATTC